GAGCAGGTAGATAGTTTCATTGAAAACTTAGAAAGATCGTTAAACCCGATTTTGAGGGGTGAATCTGAATAGCGCGTAGTAAAATTTTTGATTGATCGTTATTATTATCACATGATGTCAAAATTTGTGGCGACGCTTGTGATGTTTGTAGCTATTTTGTCGATCTGCAGCAGCTGTGGCACAGAATCTGCTCCGCTTTAGCCTACCCCTTATGGAGAATTACATAGATTGGCCGATTAACCGACTTATCGAGACTGACCGTGTAATAAACACTCTACCTATAATTATGTTAAAAATGGTCATACATTCAAGAAACGATACAACCCCACCATTTTTTTTCAATTTCGCGTGCGTGCGTGTCCGCATATCGATGTCCTACTTACCGTAATTTATTCCTCGACTTGACGTTTGTAGATACACATCTAATCAATACTCATGTCAATTATTTACCGTCTAATCATCCATTTACTTGCTTAGTTGTATCGTATTGCCTTTTTCTTGATAATCGGTTTTGCTAAAGATTTTACATTTTCGTCCTTAACGTATTTCTCGACGAACGAAATACATAGCCGTAATAAAGACTTACATTGTCCACGTTTGGTCTGACTCAACTAGAGATATCTATTTGCAGACACGTGGATACGATGGTAAAATAGCCAATCATCTAACTGTAATGCATTAACATATGGTATGTAAATGTAATTATTGGCTTATGATCCACAGCTTCAGACTTCAACATACAATTAAGAATTATGCTTACATATGTCGTTAACGTTATACTAACTCCACCAATTCAATTGTTACTCATCTGTAATAACAATGGTTACGACTAGGTTATTGTACTCGCACATAATAGCTAATGAAGATAAATCTATTTATTTCGGCACATGTTACAATACGAGTACGGTATACATAATTACATACATTAACTTATCTACTCATGGATTATATGTATCGTTTAAAAATAATAATTGAGTATATTTATTATTGTTCATCGCCAATATAATATTTTATTGTATAAGACAAGAACTGGATGTTTCAATGATAAACAATAATAAATTGCATAATTAAAGTATGTACGGATAAATACATTGTCGTTGTGAGGAGTAGAGTAGAGGTCTTTCAAGTCAACAATGTTTGTAAAATATTGTGTTTATTAATAATTATTGTATAAAAACAAATTACGTAAAAAAATTTCAATTAAGGTTGCGCTAATCCAAGTCAGGAAACTTGTACGAAGATTGTTCCATTAATAGATGCAATCAACTGTAAACCGGAAAATACACATTTTTTCGAAATAAAGTAATAGACAAATCACGTCGTGTCATTATACAGTATTGCCAACTGAGAAAAGTCAAACGAGGGACACAGTTTTATAGCAACATCTGTACATGCAAACCGTTAAAACGGAATACAAGTTTTTGTCAGTAGAATAACCGTAACCGCAACAATTAACTTCACACACCGCATATATGGTGTTATATCAGGGTAGGAAGCGTGTAATATTAGCGGTTATTTGTGCTTCGCAAACTGCTAGATTGCACATAACTATCATAGTATGATTAAATCGAATGTAGGGACGAATAAATTAACTTATGTGGAATGCAAACATTATAGTTTTTAAGTTAAATTAACTAAAAAAAACCATTGACGTTATACCGTCATTAGTAAAACACAAGTTCGAAGACTATTTAATTAATTTTTATACTACTTATTGAAACGGAGGGCATTTTGCAATTAAATTTAACCACAATAGTGTTTACAACATAAGCAATTAACCTGTTATATTTATTTTACTGTACTATGTCCTGAAAGTTTGTGCTCCTGTTTCGGCATCAAATTGTCTCAATACAACACTACCAGTGAAATTTACCAGCACATATTTATTGTATTATTTGGTTTAAGGCTCATAGTATAAATAAATAATAATGTTATTGGCCAGACCTTTAAAGTAAGCCTTTGAATCTAATCCTATTCCCAATAAAAGACAACACCTGGAAGAGAATGTACAGCTATGAATATGATATTGAGACCATTTCGAAGAATGAAGCAAAAGTGGTGGATTCTTGTGCGAGGGAAGAACACGAACTTTTTTGCTCACTCAAATAACGAATGCTAATTTATTGATCTACCAAACTTATAACTGTTTGACTAGTAAATGGTGAGTTCAGCAAAATCTTAGTATAATTATGGCGTTCAATGTACCAGAGTTATGGACAGTGACTGTTTTTTGTTAACTATGTTTGAATCACCTTGAAAATTGCGTTCATAGAGTTTATATTATTACGCATGCAAAATATTCGAAATTCCGTATCTAAAGCTTTTTGCACATTTATAAAAAATTTTATTTCGTTTTATTATGCAGATAGTAGTTCCTTTCTCTTTTGCTCTACCCTAAACACTTCAATTTCTTCTATTCTAAAGCTGTCTGTACTTTCTCGTATTGGACCTTCGTAATCATCATGCCTAGCGTAGCTATAATGCCCATGCATAAAATTGTCTTCAATTCGGAGGTCACTGAATCCAAAGCATGGGCCAAGATCATGAGAAGAATGAACAGCATATGTAGTATTGACAACTCTACTGATCACATGTTCATAGTTATTTCGTCCAATAGCAAACAGAAAACTCTTCCTGGTTCTCGGGTTCCTGTTATCTTTACTCCAATGGTTGGGATTATAGCCTCCAATGATTTCATCCGTACCAAATATCTTAATTATGGTGATAGTTGGTCCTTCATAATCGCACAGATTATGAAATTTCGGTGCTGTAGCACATACTTCGCTGCCTCGCATTAGCAAAGTGAATATAAAAGGTATTTCACTTGGACATTCTAGAAAATCATCCAATTTTTGTGTTGTTTCTGATTGCTGTATACAACAAGCAAACCATGCGACAGTTTGCCAATCGATTAACACAGAGTCTATGATTGATTCTGTCGATACCACAGTGGATGAGTCATCCTCAATTTTTTCTGTGTATGGATAGCAAGTAGCTGGTAATATAAGATCGTCTGAACGGATATCTATTAAATAGTAAGATACCAATTCTCGAAACAAATCTCTTGGTATAATAGAATCTAACGGTAATACCTTTTCCAGAAATTCCTTTTTTGACATTTGAAAGAAACGCACCAGAGGCAAGAAATCCTTCAATGTGTTTGCTAA